ACTCCCCCTCCTTTTTTATGCTGAACAAGCTGAAACACACAAGTCAGCTCTGCCATTTCCCTGAGGATCCCAGGAAATTTGCTCTGGTCCTGTTCTAGTCTGAACTCTTCTGTCTTGACCAGACCTGTAAACTCTACTGGCAAAGTGATTGCAGAGGACCTTGTTTATTAGTGTTAACACAGCTCTATCTCCACTGCAAACATGGGTTTTGCTAGATCCTTAGGCTATGTTTATTTTTTCATGGGTACATCATGTTACTGACTTACAGCTGCTGATGGATTCCTAACAAGCCTGGGTTCTCTTTCTTTTTTCTTTTTTCTTTCTGCACCCCTGCTTCATTTATTGCTTCCAGTGAGAGACCCTACAGCATATTTTTATTATGGTCGAAATGGAAAATCATGCGCTTTGTGCTATTACATCCCACTCCTATTTTCCAGTCCTCTAGGGAGTCAAAGACATCTGGTCCAATATTCTGATTTACCACAACTTAGTATCACCTCAGAATTTCCTTCAGAATCAGCTTCTCTTGCTGCATTTCAGCTTGTCTGTGGTGCAACAAGAAAACAACTAGGTTGTGGCTTATTCTATGGCAGAATCTCGTAAATAATGATTGGGTTGCTATCTTCCTTTCTGGATGTCATCATAAAAACCGTGACAGAAAACAGTGAAGAGAAGTATCAATGCTTTTCTCAGTGTGAACTTCCGTTTTACTGTAAAACTTAGTTTATTTGATTAAGTTGCCTTAAAATATGAAAGTTTTTTCTTTGTTCACCTTCCAGGGTGTGGACAGGATTAAAGCATATATTCCTGATGCAGTATGGTATGAGTATGATACGGTTAGTAAATGCAGAGGATACTATGGGGTGATTTTCTAAATGGCTATGTGATGAAATAATTGTCAGCCCTGCTTGGTGACAAACTCCTAAAATAAAGCCCACAGGAAGGAAATGGCGAGACAGGGGATGAAGGGCGGTGGGGTAAGTGCACGAATCAACACCTCAAGAAAAAGGCACAGAGGTGTGGATCATAGCGCAGGAGATGGGGAGACAGACAGAATGGAGACTTTAGCAAAGACCATCTTTGAAATAAAATAAAATAATTTTAATTATAATACACAAGAGTTTGCAATTATTGTTTACTAATGTCATTTCTATAAATAAGTTTCCTGTTGCTTTGATAATCCTTTTGATGGGTAAAAAAGGACATTGTTCACATTAGATTCCCATATTCAAGACAGAGTCCCCACAGGACTTGCTCTCTGCATTGACTGATCCAAAACCAAATAGTGAGAGATGTTGATTTATAACATTAGGTCGTATTGATACGCAGTTGTTTTAGCTCCGTGTGCCCATTGGCACATAACTTAAGCCTTTTCTAAAAGGAAGCATTAAGGTGAACCTCAGAAGTTACAAAAACGTTCACATGGCGAGTAATGCAACATAATCTCTGGTCGCCCAGAGAGGTGGTAGATGCCCCATCCCTGGCAACATTCCAGGTCAGGCTGGACGGGGCTCTGAGCAACCTGATCAAGTTGAAGATGTCCTTGCTTATTGCAGGGGGTTGGACTAGATGGCCTTGAAATGTACCTTCCAACACAAAGGTTCTATGGGTCTTTGATTCTAGGGTTCTTTGCTTCTAGGATTCTGTGACTGTAGGATTCTATAACCATTCTCTTTTACATCCCTGCCTACAAGGGGGCAAAAATCTCAGTGAGGAAACAATGGACCAGTATGTACCTGCCAGCAGACAAACTGGGACTCCATTTGAGAGGAGGCTATATTTACCCTACTCAACAACCAGCTAACACAACAGTTGCAAGGTATGCTTCAGTATGGAATGCGTTCATGGGGGCTCTTTTCAAGACTGGGCACAGGGCTTTCAGATTACAAATCAGTAGCAGCCTATTGTATGCCGCATTTTTGCCTTGAAATACGGGAATATAATACAGGAATATAATATGATAACTGTGAGCCACACCTCTCTTCCACAACTGTTTATGTTACAAGTTCAAGAATTAATTGCAAGTTTAATTGCATAGCATTTTGTAAATTTGCCATGTATTTTAATCCATTTACTTGAAAATGAAAGGCAACTAAAGACTAATCTAAGGCAACTCTCAAAGCATTGCAACCCTGTTCAGTGCCACATTCTTAACATGAACATGAAGCATGTACTAAGACTGTTTAGCTATTTGGCATACTTGTAAGACAGAAAGTCTCTCTTTCCACAGCCGCAAGAATCCAATGGGGCTTCTAATTGCCCTGGATGACAACAATGCTGCTTCTGGGGACTTGTTCTGGGATGATGGAGAATCTACAGGTGAGCAGTTATCAATAGAGAAACAAGCACAAGTTTCAATCTTCCTGAAGATGTTGTTGTAACACACTCTTAATACTTGCTCATATGTCAATAGATTTTCCACCACTTTTAAGTGGAAAACTGTAACTATTATTAATTTATTTTTTTCCTGTTCAGGTTTCACTATAGCCTTAAATATGTACAGGTCTGGTGCATAGCATGCTGACTCTTAAGCCATGCTGTCAAGATAGATATGTATTCTTGTATATACCCAAATTAGTTTCAACGGGTGCAAGTACGCACATAATTAGTGTTTGACACTAGGAATTGGTAGAAGACGAAAAACCAGTAGTGTTATTAACTCTCTGGAATTATTTAAATTGCTTGTGAAAACAGTGGAAATTTTGTTAACCCAAAAGTACGGTGTAGGAGCCAACGTTATTTATGCCACCTGGTTTCCACAGCACACTGGTGCATAAACACGCAAGTAAGTGTGTACGGGCTATATTTGTCACGTTGCCAACCTTGTTGTTAGTAAAGCTGCCAGAGAACTTACTTCCCCTTGGGACAGTCACGATTGTTATGCCAAGGCCTGTCAACCTCAACTCTTGTGACAGACTAGCATCGATACTACTTACCTCACCAAACAATTTACAGCATACATACCTTTTTTGCTTAGGGTCATAACATAATTAAGGTCATAACATAGTTCAGCTGAAGTTAAAATTTAAAAAAAACCCAACCAACCAACAAACAACCACAACAGAAACCCTTTGTATAAAGTTAAGTTTATTTTGGCTTTTGGTAAAGTTAATGTTTTTGGAATACATGCATGCCTAAGGAAAGCAGAGTCCATTCTAGAGCAATGGAAAGAACCTCACCATTATGTATCCACAGATACATTCTTCATTTTAATCTTGAGATGAAGGAAATTTTGAAAAATGAAATTTCTTGAACTGTGGGATTTTCTGTGGTATTTCTGAGGATTTCTTTAGGCATCCTGTCTCCATTAAACGAAAAGGGTTTGGGGTATTTAAATCCTGTAGGCTGTTTTTGCATTCTTTGCCCTTTGTCATAGACTTTTTAGAGAAGTCAGGAAGCAGTTCAAGGGGTTAATCTGAAATGATTTTTTGAAGAACTTTTACAAAATACTCAGGCTTGTATTAAAATGATTTAAGGACTTGTATTTCACAGATTTTATTGTTTTATTTGCAATGAACCGTAGCATGCAGAGCTAAAGACTTTGGTTTATGGTGTTATGCCAGTTAATGTATTTCAAGTAGACTCGATCTTCTCTAATTCATGCCCTACTGTATCCATAGACTGCTGTCACTGGTAAAATCACAAAATTATTAAGGTTGGAAAGGACCTTCAAGATCATCAAGTCCAATCATTAACCCAATGCCACCATGCCCCCTAAATCATGTCCCAAAGTGCCACATCCACATGTTTTTTGTATACTTCCAGAGGTGGTGACTCCACCACCTCCCTGGGCAGCCTGTGCCAATGCTTGACCAGCCTCTCGGTGAAGAAATTTTTCCCAATACCCAATCTGAACCTCTTGAGGTGGTGCAACTTGAGGCCATTTCCTCTCGTCCTATCGCTGGTTACTTGGGAGAAGAGACCAACACCCTTGTCGCCACAATCCCCTTTCAGGTAGCTGTAGAGAGCGATGAGGGCTCCCCTCAGCCTCCTCTTCTCCAGACTGAACACCCCCAGTTCCCTCAGCCGCCCCTCATCAGACTTGTGCTCCAGACCCCTCACCAGCTCCGTTGCCCTTCTCTGGACACGCTCCAGCACCTCAATGTGTCCTTCTTGTCGTGAGGGGCCCAACACTGAACACAGGATTCAAGGTACCAAAAGTGTCAGAGCTTTCTTTAGCTACACTGGAATAAAACGCAGGTTAGACAAAACTGCAACAGTAGCAATGTACAGATAGAAATGACGTTGGAGTAATATTACCACTGAGGTAAAAATAAATAACATTATACTATTATGTGCATGTTTAAGTTATAATCCTGAAAATTAGGTAGACATCCTGCAGATAGTGATTCATGGAGATATTTTGCACACAAGGTATCTGACTGCGCACACATATTTTCAGGAGAGATCTTTAGATGTTCAGAAGATGCCAGAGATTTTCCCACGTGAATTAACCTCAGCACTGTCACAGGTGGTATCTGAATTGGTGCATTAGCTCTGTCTTCTGTCTTCTGATACAACTAACCACCTTCTTCTAGATCCTTAAGCGGTCCAGTTTCTCTGACTTACCCTCCAGTTGCCAAAAGCTACCTTTATCCTTAGTCACAATCTATTTTTTCACTCGTGCAGGGCCAAGGGCTCTGACTCAACTTCCATGAAAGCATCTCTTAGGGTTCAAGATTTCATTCCCATTTCCTAATTGTGTAGCTACCTTGTCCTCTAGATTATGCATTCAACTTACAGAACTCCCATTTGTTATTTTAAATATTCCAATCATATATCCCAGAAAATTTTCAAGCCTCTATTTTTTTAAATTTGGTGGAAGTTTGGGTTGCTTTTAAGAAATAGAGCTGTGATTTGGCTGATTATTGCTGCCATAAATATTGAAAGCCTTGGGTGAGTGCTGATATGACAGCTATATGTACTTCTTTGTCAAGGCCTAAAATAACAAAGCTATTATTGTACTCAATTCTGTTAAGAAACAAAACAATAAAACATCTTGTGACTTGATTTCCTGCCCAGAACTTACGGGTTTCAGTCTTTTCAGTGAAATTATTTGCAATTTGCTTGCAATGACAGTATTTTTCTTTTCATACATAGAAAAAAAGTGCCAGATTGACTCACCTTCTGTATTTCTTTTTGCTGGTTGTGTGTTATTTCCTCTGTTATGGTTCTGTGGCAGAGATTATACAAAATATTGTAATGTTTGCGTGAAAAGCTCTTATTTAAGGTAATTTACAGGCTTAACTCTGAGCCATACATCTACATTTAAGAGAAGCTAGGAAGGAATAACAGTGAAATAAAAAATTAGTACATTTTAGAAAAGCTGATTTAAAAAATTTTTGGAAAATTTGGAAAATTAGATCTCCTGGGAGCCTGGCTTAAGAAAAAAGAAATACAGAAACGTAAGTTGCTCAAAGAAACATTAGTAAATATTTGAGTTGCTCAGTGCAGTCTCTGAATGCAATAATGATAATAATTACTAATTTATTGGTCTCCAGCAGTGGCACAGTCCTGTTTTTAATGCTGTTCCTTTCTGCAGTGCAAGTGTAACTTCTTTCTTTACCTTTTAGGTACAGTTGAGAGTAAAGCCTACATTTACTATGAGTTTACAGTTTCTAATGTAAGTATTTCACTTTAAGTGATCTTATTTTCATTTTCAATTTTTATCAGCAGTATCTTCAAAGGGCATTCTTTTCTCCCTCTTTATTCTCCTGTAAGATTTACTGAGATGCAATTACTGTAATTTAACTGGGATGAAAATCTGTTCTTTGTCTTTTCTTCTCCTAGTTAATATAAGTACCTAAAGAACTCCTGTTTCCTTTCACATAACAAACTCATCAACAATGTATACTCAGCAAGAGTGAGCAATATATAAAGCATCAGTGGCAGTTAAACCAGAGTCAGAAAGGAGATGAATGTAGTGTTTGCGGTTCTTAAAATACTGGAAATTTGAAAAAAACCCACCTTTGTACACTGTAAAAATATAGCTGAATGTTCCCAGAGAGTGAAAGGAAGACCTATGCCTTGTCTGAACGCAGAGAATCTACTTCATGACTAAGTTTTAGGTTTTTAATTTTTTTAAATGGAAACTGCTTTGGTAGTGAGAATTTATGTCAGGGTGGAGTCCAGATAGTGTTTCTATCCAATATTGAGTGGTGCTATCACATGACATGGATTCCAAGTAATGTGATAATATATTTTTTGTATCATAATAATGTCTGCTAAAGTTATTCTTTCCCTTGCCATGGTGAAACAACAGGGCAACAACTTAGAGAGAATGCATAGGAACGCAGGAATGGAAGCAAAGGAATAGGAAGTGGAAGCACATACATTAGTTATTTTTTTAATCATATGTAATCATATAATAGTTTGTAGATAAGCAACTTCAGTTACTACCGGAGTTTGAAACTCTTGTAGCCAAATCATCAGTTGAGTGTAATTGTGTTGAATTAAAAATTAATATATACATTCATGTGACAGCCATGTCATGTCACATTCATGTTACATTCCACTATTATCAATTTACTTAGAAGTACTGGAATTTAATAGGAACCGGTACTTTTATATCAGGAAAAGTGAATAGGAACCTTCGCTTATTAGAACCTGGCAAGACCACAGTCAAGGTAGAGGTTATCTATCTTCCCTGTCACAGACAGGTGTCAGCTTTTTCCTATTTCTGAAACAAGGGAAAAAGGGAAGCTGAAACACAATTATGAAACATATTATATATAGATGGTAGCAAAATATTACTGTGGTAACAACAAGCAAGGCAATAAAAAGGTATTGGCTTACTTTATGTTACGGTATGAAGATCTAGTTAGAAAAAATGTTTAAATTGGGAGGAATTTTGGCAGATTTTTTAATAAGAATGTGATCACTATGTTATTTTTCAGAATGTTCTACAAATGTCTGCTATAAACAGCAATTATGCTGATCCAAACAACTTGAAATTTGAAGAAATCAAGATATTGGGAGCACTCCGGGAAATAATAACAGTTACTGTATCTCAGAACAACGTTGTGGAAAATTCTCTGCCTAATATCACATATTACCCTTTAGAAAAGGTAAAACACTAGCAGGAAAACGGGAAGTAAACATCTCTGAAATTACATTACCTTTATTTTTTATATTGCAAAGGACAGTACTCAGTTCTAATATCATTTGAACAGCATAGATCATGTATTTTATTACAGGACAAAAGTACAATTGCATACAACTCAGCTGCATAGAAAGTGCATCTAAGTTTTGCTCTCAGACCCTCAGTGCAACAGAAAGTTTAGTTATGCAGTTGTTCATGTAGTAACATTTAATTTCTAAGACAATAGATTTGTGATTTCGTTTTATATTGGAGGAGGGTAACAAATACATTTTAAATGGGTATTTATGCATTGATTTTTAAAACAAAATCAAGCACATTGTTTAGACCTCCTTTATCACTTCATACAGAGTTTTTCACAGGATGAATACAGGAAAGCAGCAACACAGTGCATTTATGTGCAAAGCAAGAAAATATGTTGCTCCTAGTGGGAAGCTTTCATGAAAGTGCTTTCCCACACTAGGATAGTGCTGACATTACTTTGAACTTGCATTGCACACCCTCTTTAATTATTACAAGCACTGAGTTACCTGTTATGTTATCCTCTCAGTTACCGAATCAAAATAAAAATATTTTATCGTCGTCCTACCTCTTGCATTCATATTTCAAGATGTGAAGGAGCTGTGCCCTCATCTTTATTCCTGTTTGCCTCTAAGAAAGCTGTGGGATTGACACAATCTTTTTAGATTCCTAATTTTTCAGATTTTATCTGCAAGAATATCAGGTGTGTGTGTTTGTAAAGGTGAGACTATGTCAAATGTTACAGGACAGGTTTTTTTGTTAGTTGTCACATAGCAAAATGTACTGTTCTTGAGGACCAGCATCCCTGCTGACTGAAGGAAAGATGGATGTGATGTGGGATTTAATAACTGTTTATTGTTTAATATTTATAGGTTGCTCATATAACAGGACTTCAGCTTGAACTGGGGAAATCTTACACAGTAAAATGGACTCAAAAACTGAGTGTCAATGAAAGGTTTAATTGTTATCCCAGGCCCAATCCAACACAAGAAAAATGTGAACAACTTGGCTGTGTCTGGGAAGTAAGCAAAAATTGTTTCTTTAAACTAATGAGGCAGAAATCTTTCCAGGATCATAGCTTTCTCTTTATAGTTGTTACAGTGGAAAAAGTAATCTGGCAGATTTTTCAGATTTAAATAAAATGGGGGCATAGACATCAGCTGGCCTATACTAGCAGATTTTATTTACCTCTATCACGAATGAGTAATTTAGACCACTTAAAGAATCACCACCAAAGGTATCAGAAAGCCGATGATTTTAATAGAAATTTGTAAAAAGGTACGACTTAACAGAATTCAATGGCAAGATTCACTCTATTACTTATTTGACATGAAAAAGATACAAAGCGAAACCAAGTTACAATTAGACTGGAATGATTTACTCATGGATCAAATTGGTCGCAGCCCATTGCGGTGCAGGACAGCTCAAAAGGGTCTCACTTGAGACCACTATTTATAGGACTGGGAGACGATTGACTTTAGGCATCAGTAAATTTCCATCCTTGCCACAAATCATTTGTAATTGCTAGAATTCTTGAAATCTCAGTGATGCTGGTGCTGATACACCAAGTCACGGTTAGATAAGATATGTTCCAAGGTGTCTGGGGATGATGAGTTACTCCCATAACTGAATTCCTGGAATGGCCAATACCATTCCCCACCTTAGCTACGCAACAGTGCTTGTACAGTCAAGCAGCTCTTAACCGCCAAACTCTCTGCCCCAAGAGAGGCTTATCAAGCAGGGAGGGGGGCGAGAAATGCACCACCACAACCTCACTAACACTAAGGTAGTTGGCAACCATGTAAGCTCTT